ATTCAAAAAGCCTAAGCCTGAACTGATTCAATCTTTGCAGGTTAGTTTAACCTGGCTAAGCTCAGTCACTTCGTAACTGCACAGACATGCAGGCACATTCCTACAGTGGCTCAGGCTAGAAGCTGGGGGACACTAGAGCAGTCCTCCCTTCCCTTCCACAGTACTGACCGGGGGGGGGGGGGCAGTTGGTGGGCCTAGCTAGGCCTTGCAGGATGCTCTTATTAGACCAGCAGGGAATTGATAACAGTGTTTATCACCCCTAACTCAATGTTTATTGCCCCATTAAGAAAACAACAGAGGGACATTACCAGCTACCTGCTGATTCTGCCTGTTGATTCAGGCAATGGACTGTAGCCAGCATGTGGTCCGCTAGCTAATACATGGATACCTCTCCGCAAGGCAGAGGGGAGGGGGGAATTCCTATTTAGCAGGGAGTGAGGCAGGGGAGCAAGTCTCTGCCGGAGCTACAGCTAAGGAACAGGGAGGTGGGGCCAGCTCTGCTGTGGAGCAGATAGCCCCACCCAGCCCAGAGAACACGCCAGGATGCTGGGGGAGTCTGGTTTATCTTAACCCAGCAAGGGGTCTGGGACAGACATTACATAAACAAGCATCCAGATGCTTTCTGAAGTTTGAGCCAGATCAGTTAAGTCTGATACTACATTCAACCGGGTTTATCTCAAATCAGTTTCAGCCATTTTCAAACTGGTTTATGTGCACTAAACATCTGTTCTGTTACAGGTTTAAACCAGTTTCTGATCACTTAAACTGGTTTATGTGTAATGTCTGTCCCTAGCCAAATAGAATTCAAGCTAAATTAATGAAGTATCAACATTCCTCCAATGCCCTTCCTACCATTCTCCCCTACTTCACTTCAAGGACAGATAAGCGCTCTTGCAATTGATAATACTGACAGGGGTAAAATATTAGAGTGTTTCAGCACAACACAGAGAACCAGGGGATAGGTCTCTGGACATGTACACAAGCTAGTATAGAAACAGGGAGGACACAACATAGAAAAAGCTTGCTTTCATAATGTTCATAGGGCAGGGATTTTGGGGGGGGCGATATCTTTTATTGGACCAACTGTACAGTTGGAATAAAGTTAGACAAGCTTTTGAATACATGGCATTCTTCTTCAGGTCTGTGGAAGAAAACAAACACAGCAATTGTTAAGAACAGTGGGTACAGCTGTGAAATTGGAGGGGAGAGAAATTCCCAGGGGCAGCAGACAAGCAATTAGACGAAAAGAAGCTTGATTACTGAGAGATCAAGACCTATCAAAAAGGAGGAGGGTCACTATAACTTGTAGTGCGTAGGAAGAATTTCAGGAATGAGGTAGATTATAGTCTGTCAAAATCAACATCAATGTTCAGTCCTTGGTGCCTAGGGCCCAGTCAGTTTTATGGATTTTTGTTCCTTAGCTCGCCTTGTAAAGGTATTTAGTAGATTTCCCTTTAAAATGAGGATAGAGAGGTCAGAAAGAAAGCAGCTGTTTTGTGAAAAATGTACTCCTACTGGTATATCTGTGTCACAACCCAAGGGTGTGATTTTTGTTTGTGTGCGCTTCGGCACTGCTAAATTATTTCCCGCCACTTGTAGCTTTCTTTGCAGGGTGCATTTCTTCATTGCAACATAGAAATGCACGTTGCAAGGAGTTCCCGCCATTTGTATTCAGATTCGTGCCCCACCATTGGTCAGTTCTAAATTATTCCTACATGGCAGCTAGCGATTGGCTTGCTAGCCGTATAAGAGGCATGAGTGGTTTCCGCCCAAGTTGGAGATCTCCGGAGGATAACCCTGCAAGGGGGGACTCCGTAAACATCTTGAGGAGAACTCTAGGCGCGCTGCGGAGCCTATCGGACCCAACGCGTGTGCCTTAGAGCTGGCTATAGAGGTCTAATCAACCTCTGGCCTCTCCCCGTCGCCGAACAATCCCTCGACGAACCCCTTCCCTGCGCGCAAGTTCCATGGAGCCTAGCAAACTTCATGTGAGTGAATCCAGAGCTCTACCCGGGTCCAAGTCCTTGAAACTGGGACTTAAGCGAAGCTTTTCCTGGAAGTCTTTCCAGCCTACACCGCGACCATCTACGGTGTAAGTAAACAATCTTAAACAACCACTAAGCGTCCGTGCCTAATTCTAGCGTGCCGCCTGTCTTCCCCGACCCGGCGTGTCCGGGCTGCTGGCCACAGCCC